AGAGGAAGAAAATGAATGTTGAATTATGAATGCAGTGTTTTACCAAACTGCTGCATGTTGCAAAGCAGGAAGCAGTTGTTGATAATGCTTTTTTAGAGTGCTGTTGATAAAATTCAAATTTAATGTAAATGATCAAACAAATACCCTAGCCAATGTAATTTTACTATCCTCTTGGAATTGTGAGGGACCCTTTAGAAAACTGTTTTGTGTGGTGTGGGTTTTTAAAGTCTCTCTGTGTTTGAATCAGGTGCCTTATGTAAAGCTGTGCCTAGATATTTATGACAGCAACACCAAACAGCAGTGAAAGGGAAGAGCAGTGGCTATTCAGTTGTAGTAGCAAGTTGCAAAGTTGCAGCAAAGTTGTGATTAGTTACCATTTCTTCTTAGGACAAATCGCTCTTGGCCTGTGAGGTTGTTTCCCAACAATTGATGATTTCTTATAACAATGCCTAGCAAGAACTAGCTTTTGATATCTAGGCATAGTTAAAAACCCCCAAACAGTTTCATTACCTACTGATGTTTTAAGATGGCATCTGAGCAAAATTCTCCCTCCCCCCCCAACTTGTTCAGCATAGCAAGAATAACAGTGTGCAGTGCGCAGAGAAATTAATATACCAGAGACCCAGAGACTGAAGTAGGTTCTAATCACGATAATGTGTAAATTTTGTTTAAAGTTTTAGAAGGCAGCTCCTCTCCTTGTAAGTAAGTCTTGCTCCATTTCCTTGCTTAACCAGTGTATTTCAGGACAGATTGGCTGAGAGAAGCGGAAATGTGCAGTCTTTGCGTTATTTGAAGCCCTTCAGGTTTGGGTAGTGTGCTGATTTCTGTATTTCAGTATTAGTCTCTGTGTTTTCATGCGTTGCCCGAATCACAAAATGGTTGTCAAGTTGCTTTTCAAGTAAAAGGAGGTGACATGTTAAGTTAATCTATAGCAGGGCATTGAATGACAGACCACAGTTGCTGTGGTTGTGCTTATGTTATTCTGTTAAATAAATACAGATAATTTTGATGATGGTGTATGCTTGCCACTGCAAAGTTTAGTTATTTTTATAACTGAAAAAATACGTACTGTCATGTGGAATTCTGTTACAGCAGCATCCTAGAAATTCCACACTACTTTGATCGCTTTGCTGTGGAAACATTAAATTACTACTCTTTGTACATCCATCTCATATAGTGAAAACTTAAGTAGTAGTGAAAGGGCAAAACTGGCCATCTTGCTCTTTTTAAGAACAAGAGAATTAGAGCAGAGATGGTAACAGTTGTCTTTCCTCCATGTAAGTTCAGGGATCTTAGGCAAAACAGCTGATGATGGAGTTGGATTTTTCTGCAGCAATATGTTAACTATTTTCTTTGGCTGCATTTAGGCTGAATGCAGTCCGGGGCAGTGGCTGTCCATCAAATTACTGTGGGCACAATGATGCTTGTCTGAGAGGCCTCCATGCTTAGCTTGAATCAGGCAATTTGATCCAGCTCTTTTCAGTCTGGCCTTTGGCCCATGATTGAATACTGGGCTGTAACCAAACCATTGTATATAGCACCCGTGTTTCAAGGCAGGAGAGGGTGGTCAGGGCAGAACTTGAAGTAGAGATTTCAGACTAGCTAAAACCCAGTAATTTACTTTATTTGCTCTAATGTAAACTTCTCATGTAGCTTTGTTACAAATGAGAGCATTAAGACTTTCAAAAATAGCAATTATGGAAAGGAATGCAGAGGTGAAATCAAACTCAGAGTTTGTAAGATCTAGTCATTAAAAGATACACGTCATTAACCAGATTGCCACAGCACACTCACTTCACTTTTACTGTTACTGTTTTACTTACACCATATACAAAGTCACATTGAACAGATACGTAGGGGTTTTTGACAGACTTTTGAGTTAGTGTGTGGGGTTGTTTGGGGTTTTTTTGCTTGATTTGGTGGGGTTTTTTTAACCTCTTTTCAGCCAACGTTTGAGTAGTTTGTACAGTTTCAATGCGTTTAATGAAAAAATACAATCCAGGTTGCTCTCTGTGAATGGTAGTAGAGTGTGAGATAAAGGAGTCCCGTTTAGAACAGAAGGAGAAGTGATGAGAGTGTTGTGAAGCTCATGCTGATGGACAGTCCAGTACAGATGGATTCCACAGAAGGGCAGGGATCCTCCTACTTGTTGAGTAATCCAATTTATAAGCTCAGGCCTGGCTAAGAAAAATACTTCCAACCTTTGTTCCAGCCCTGATTTACCTCTCGTTTACCACTGAGTGAGAGTGTGTACAGGAGCAGTTAGTGCACAGCAGCTGATATGGTTGGGTGTATGCTTATCTGAATACGTCACCTTTCTAGGCTGTTGGCAAGCACACAAATCCCAGATAACTCTTTAAAATTTTAACTCTGCTGCAGCATCATGGTGAGGAGGAGTGTCTTGCATTTGAGGAAGTAAGTGCAGCTCTGTATGAGTACAGGAATTCGTCAGCATTAAGTCAGCTTTCCTCACAGTTGCAGGAGGAGATGCAAAGCAGCACTATTGCATCAGTTTATGTTTTTTGTTTTTTGAGGGACAGAAATTGGAAGCTGCATAGATTTATTTTTTTTTCTTCCTTCTTTTTGGGTAGTACTTACCAACTAGTTGGGAAAGAGGATCTTACAAGAACCTAGATTGGTAACATTACACACTAAATTTAAATCTCAGAACTTGTTAAAATGATTTGTACTGAGTTCATGTATATACTTCATTCTGAGCCCGTTAATCTTCAGTGTTCATTAATGTGCAACAAATTCTTAAGTAACTTGTCAATTAAATCAACTTTTGGCCCAACAAAATCACCCATTTGTACAGCAGAAATATATTAGTCATTCTATGTTTATGCTGGAGTTAGCTTGAACTGTGGCCAAACATATCATATTGTCTCCAAGTCTGGATTCCAACTCTGAGTTACTAATAGTTCATGGCTTTGAAACGTTGCCAGATGTTAGCACTTACAAAAGAAGCTCCTGTCAATGTAAATTAGAACAGAAGATTCTCCTCTTTTTGCCATGTAAGTTCAAAGTTTTATTTTCTAAGAAGGCAGCAGTGGTGTTTTCTTCGTAGAACTGAAAGCAGCTAGCAACAACTTTCTTAACTCCCCTGCTAAACATGTGGACTGGTACACAAATACACATGCACATTAGGTAGCTAATGAGTAAGTCCTGTATCAGCTGCTGTAGCTAATGAATGCATTAAATATTTACTCATAAGAACACCTAGAAGGAAGGTATCAGAAGATGACAGATCTGTCCTCACGTAAATGATCATAAAATAACAAAGCGGGGTGAGTAAAGACATAACAGCAAACCTTCAGAAGAAAATGAAGGAACTCTTGAACAAAACCAAGTGTCTTCTTACACTTGTGTAGGCTTACTAGCCTAACTGAAGAGAACTACACTGAATTTATGTAGAGCAGCAACACAAAGGCGTTCCTGTGAAATAACAGTATTTGGATCCCTCATGGGTTTTCATTCCTTTAATACTACTTGTTTGTATTAGTTATCCCAAGAATCTTGTGGTGTTTTCCAAAATAGGAAGATACTTACAGAGATGCAATTTGGCAATTATTTACCTTTGTGGTGCAAATTTAAGGAGGTACTTGATACTCCATTTGCAGTAAAACATGAATGGTGGTGTCTCATCACAGCTGCCTGTTGTTTTGAGCTACTAAGTAACAGTATCTTGGCAGTTGGTCCTACAGGAAAAAATTTAGTTCCTTTATTTTTAGCCTGAAAGTTTAATTGTTGGGAAAGAGAGTGGGAACGTGTTGGATACTTATGGAAGTATGGAGTCAAAGCTGTATGAGCCCAATTAAAATTAAACTTATTTCCAGAATGCATCTTTCATAGACCAGAGAGGTTAGAGCTGCTTGGGTTGGTGGTCAACTGCAGTTTATAAGCCAATAAATACATTGCCAGTAGAAAACTCACTCTTCAGGATTTCGTTGTACTTTGTTGCATTGAGCGTACCAAGTTGAACATATCTTTAGTCTCACACACATGCTTGATATTTACTGGTATTTCTTTATAGCCTTTATGAACTATACTTATTAGTGTAAATGGAGTTTCAGTACTGCATAAGTTCAGCTGCTAATAGAAGTTACTAATCCACATGGATCGTGGAAGGGTGGAGGTCCTTTGGAGGAAGCCTCAAATGCTGTGACATTCTTCTATAAACAGCTTGAGCTGGCTTTTAGCAGACTGCATTGCAAATCAACACCTAATGCGTTGCCACTCCAGCATAGAAGAGCTACTGCTTTTAACTTACTTTCCTAAATATTGAATGTTACCATAAATTAATTGTCCCCTGCTGTATTATCTGCATTTTCCAGGTTGACTCGCTTCACTTCTTGACATTTTATTTATGTTGTCTTACTGCTTGTCGTTTCCCTAGTGTGACGATGGATCCACTTACTGAAAGAAGAAATAAATTATTTTTACCTGTTAATTTTTCTTTGAAGAAGTCAGCTTCCTAATCCAGGCTTCCCTGGAAGACTTACAAAGTAAGAAGGATATGACTTTAAAATCCCCAGCTGTGTTTTTGGGTTTTTTTTGTTTGTTTGGTTTGGTTTTGGTTGTTTGTTGTTTGTTGTTTGCTTTTTTTTTTTTTTTAAATTAACCTAAACTGTAGTTTCTCTCTTTCATGTAAATTTTCTTTTTGGAGTGTTTCTTTTTGGAGAAAAGACTCCCGAGATTCCACCAGCCTGCTTTCTTTTGGACAGCCCCAGACAGAACAGACCATTTTGACACTGCTTTTGTTCCTCAGTAAAACATAAGAACACTTACTTGTTTGTGATAACAGTATTGGACATGCTGCTTCAGAGAAAAGAAACTAGGTGTATAATTTCTTTTGTTAAATGAGTGTCTTCTCTTTGGTTGCATCAGTTATCTCTAGGGAAAAACAGGGTTGTTTTGTGTGGTTTTTTAGCTATGTTATGGTACACTTTTAGCAAAGTAGGTTTTTGAGTGTAAGCCGCTGGTGAAACACTGTTTTACAGGTTACATGTCTTGCCTGTGACAATAAATCAAATACCATAGAACCTTTCTGGGACTTGTCCTTGGAGTTTCCTGAGAGGTACCACTGCAACGGCAAGGAGATGTCATCTCAGTATCCATGTCTGCTGACAGAAATGCTGGCCAAGTTTACAGAAACGGAAGCTTTGGAAGGAAAGATATATGCATGTGATCAGTGCAACAGTGAGTAAAGGCAGTATGTACTCCTGCATACATTCTCTGTGTAAAATATAAAGTCAACTGACTGAAAGAGTGGAAGGAAAACACTAAAAATCTTGAAAGAATGTTGCAAACTAATTCTTGGTGTGGTCACTTGATAGCTGTTATCATCTAGAAGATGCAATTACTTAAAGGATGTTTTAAAGTGTGATGCTTCTCAGATAAAGTCTGATCACAGACTAATGGGGATTCTGATAGTCCCAGCAGAAGAACCTATCAGCTTTTTAAGTTAATGTACCTAATCTAAGTGACCACAAGTATCTTACACTTGTATCATTAAATAATCCTTGCATAACAGGTCTCAGAGTGTATCCTTTTTAAGGAGGCACATACCTAGCTATGTAGCTCCACACAAGCCTGGTGGATAAACTGTTTTCGAGATTTGTATTGTGTAACTGTGTGTTTGGCCTCAGCAAAACGAAGGAAGTTTTCTTCTAAACCAGTTATACTCACAGAAGCTCAGAAGCAGCTAATGGTGTGTCGACTACCTCAGGTTCTCAGATTACACCTTAAACGGTTCAGGTGAGTATTGCCACCACAAACAGTGTTGCAAACTGACCAGTTCACCCCTGCTTTTCAGTTGTTTGGGATCAATGTTTTTCAGCATCAGTTTCATTTCCCTTTACTAGTATGATGAGAAATAGTTATTAGAAACTTACTCTTCTTGTTTAATTTAAACATCAATAAGATATGCTACAAGTAAAGAACTGACTTTTTGGATTCCAGCTACTTCCTGCTTTAATACCAAAACTATTTAATCCTTTTCAGTCAAAACTTGCTAACATTGCTGTGAACTCTGTTGGTAAAAATTAATCTTGTGTTATCTTCAGGTAGAGTAAATGCTGATATTCATTAATGTACAAACCAAGATTGTATTCAGTGGAGGTCTCACATGACCTTCACATAACCTAATAGGTTAATGCATTAGCCTGAGAGTAAGGAAGTGGAGACTGCAGCTCTGTGAACTCTCAGTCCACGTATTACTACAGTCTGTCTTGAATACGAAGGAAACTGAAAGTGAGATGGAATAAATGAGAAAAACAGCTAAGATAGAATACATGGGAACAGATCTTTAAATTGGTATTTCAGAGGATGAGAATCATAGATACTGTAGACATATTTTAAAAGGCCTTGCAATAGAGAAGTGAAACACTAGAAAAACACTTGTGCCAATTAGCCTGCATTTTTGTGCAACAGTGAAGATAACACTTGTTACGTTAAAACATAATTAAAAATGCTTTGTTCTTCCTTTGAAAAAAATGCTAAGTCTTTATTTGGCTTAACTTCCCAGGTGGTCGGGACGCAATCACCGTGAGAAGATTGGCGTACACGTTAATTTTGATCAAATGCTGAACATGGAGCCTTATTGCTGCAGAGAATCCCTCAAGTCGCTCCTACCTGACTGCTTCATCTACGACTTGTCTGCTGTGGTCATGCATCACGGGAAAGGATTTGGCTCAGGGCACTACACTGCCTACTGCTACAATTCAGAAGGAGGTAGGAACCAGCTATGAAATACAAAATGAAATAAGTGTGGGAGAAAGCAATGTTTGTCATTCTAAACAAATGAGCATACTGCCTTTTCTCAAATGCAAATCAGTCACTTGTTGCTGAGCTGCCTGGAAAGGGAATTGTAGTTCTGTAGACCAGAACAGTTCCATTTTTGTATTGGCTTGTTAAGCATCTCCTGGCTATAAACTTTGATAAATCTGAGGAAGTTAAGCTGGGCTTTCAAAATGCAGAGCAAACATACTAGATAAACTAAAACAGCATACTTTCTACACAACTTGTTAAATGGGGGAGTCACTAATTCATTATTAAATACAATGAAATTACTTCAAATCAGTGTTCTGATTACTTTTTTTGGTGTATTTCTTCACTGCAGGATTTTGGGTACACTGCAATGATTCGAAACTCAACACGTGCACTATGGAAGAAGTATGCAAGGCTCAAGCTTACATTTTGTTTTACAGCCAACGACTTACTCAGGCAAATGGACGTGGTAAAATACCATGTCCTAGCACAGCTGAAAGTCAGCAGCACACAGACTTAGCTGACTGTTCCATGGACAACAGTAGCAGCTAATCCAAAGCCAGTTAACTGTGTGTAGAGTGAAAGTTGTATTGTCATCACTATATATTTTTAAGTGAAATGAAATGGAAGTACAGTATTGTACTTTTTTACTTTGAATCCATGTACAATGTTTATATACTTTTGTATTAGTTTAAGTAATCTTTACAATTGTTAGTAAAAGTTTTTATTGACAGTAAGTAACTTTCTAAGTACCTAGAATTTCAATACAGCTATTTTTTTAAGAAAAAGTTTGCCATTTGCATTTAACTCTTACCTCAGGCTGTTTTTTTAAGCTGGTTTTTGTATTTTGAGAATCTTATTGAATTGGTTTAGAAAAATGACTTTCAATGGGCAACTGATGTTTCTTTGGTTAATTTTCTATATATGCTTGTGTACATTTAATAGTATAGTTCTAATGATACCATGATTCTTACTGTCTGCAGGAATTGCTACTAGGTCTTAGAATAGTGACATTCACCAGCAACGAATGTTTTCCATGTCAAAAAGTAACTGAACTCTTTGTATGAAATTTGCTGTACATTCTTCATGACTCCAGTGAAATTATTTTTGCAAGCTTCAAGGGAACTACACTAAAGATATATGTTGATAAAATTTCTAAACATTCAAATTTGAGGAAACAGAGCATGTACTTATTTTCATGTGACTATGTAAGGGGAGTGTTTAATAGCACAAAATGTGTATTTACCTAGATTTCCATGTTGTAGCCTTAACAAGCCTGACAACTCAAGTGCCAAATTCAGAGTACTAACTTTGACAACCAGGGACTTTTATTCCAGTAACTAAAAAAGCTTTCTTAGAAAAAAAACACAGCAAAACCACACTCACTCACCCCACTTTCATTGCTACAAGAATGTCACCACCCTCTTTCTTGGACAAACTCACTGTAAATCACAGCAAGCATTGTCTCTTGCAGTAATTTGTAACACAAACTGCTGAAAAGAAGCTGTGTAACTTGTATGAAAACTTTTTCAGCCTGATCAGTTTCATTAGCTACAACTACTGTGCCTTCTCCACGGTCCTACCACTAGCATTAACTGAACTGTGTGTTGGGGAAAATGTAACAAGCAGGAATTATGTGTCTTTCTCTGGATGCAGTAGTTAATGCCAAGTAAATTTTAATTGTGAAGTTATTTTGCATAAATCCTATGCAAATTGTTACCTCATCTTCTGCAAAGTTTATACCTCAATAAAAATGCCTTGATGTGGACAGAAATCCATGCGTGTACTGGAGTTAGTTCCTACATTGTCATTACAATCTTTTTAAAAAATATTTTTTAAACTTTGTCTAGCATGGTTTAAGGCACTAACTGTAAGACTGCTTTGGCCATCTGTCACTGATTTAACAGCTGGTTTTATTCATAACTTTTCCTGCTTTTTCTGTCTGTGTTTCTGAAAGATGCCATATTACAGCCAGCGCATAGCAGCTTCTGATCTCAAACTTCCTTTGCCTTGTGCTCATCTATAATTAAGTGTGCAAAAGTATTATCAGCTTAGTGGTAAATCTGAAGGTCCAGCAACTTTGCACCTATATCAGCAATAGGGACATGGTTAGGTGGAGGGTTCTGTTGTATGAGACCATCTGTTGGTTCCAGAGCTCCCTCTTTTATTAGGAAGGAGCTGGTCTGGTAGCTAAATTACTTGTATGACAGATTAGTGATGTGAAGGCATCTCAAGAAGCCATAACCGTTATCTCCTCTACTCTCCACTTTTATCTTAATCTGCATTAAGAAAAACAGGTCCAAGTTGAAAGTTCAGCTCCACAGCTACCTTACTTAGAGCTGTTTCCACCTTAGGTACCTGCTACATGGTTACCTAGAGCTCTATATGCTGCCCTTGTTGAATCCCCTCTTATTGCACAAGCAATCAGTGCTTGCAGGAACTAGGGAAATTGCTGTTAATGTGCAGCAATAGCTGTTAATGAAAGGTTCAGGACCTCCTCACACACATGGTAACACTACATAAGTAGCAATTTGGCAGCCAAACACAGTGTAAACATGCACACAGACTTCGCACCCAAGACAGAAATGGTCCCAGTTATCAGTTTTGAGATCACTTGCTGACTCCCTTCCTTAGCCCTTCAGGAGAGGCCAATTTCTTCCCTGGAAAATACACTTGGGGAGAGAGTACGAAATTGTTGATAGTGGAAAGGGCAGGGCCTCTGGCATAGAGTCCAATTCTGCTCAAAACTGGGTCAACTATTAACAGGTTGCTCAGGGCTGTGTGCAATTGGGTTTTAAAAAGCACCAAGAATGGAGACACCACAACCTCTCTGGGCAGCCTGTGCCAGTGCCAGACCAGCCTCACAGTAAAAACAGCTGCTTCTTCTGTATCAAGAGCACCTTCTGTATTTCAGTTTGGGCCTGTTTCCCACAGGTCACTCGGCATCACTGAGAAGAGCCTGGCTCCATCATCTTTACTCCCCAGCCCACCAACAGATGTTTACAAACAAGGATAGGATCCCCCTGAGCCTCCTCCCCAGCCTGAACACTCCCTGCTCGCTCAGCCTCTCTTCATATGTCAGATGGTCTGAATCCTCATCATCTTCCTGGCCTTTTTGCTGGACTCACTCCATGAAGTCCCTGTCTTGTACCGGGAAATACAGCACTGGACTCAGCCTTCCACCTGTGCCTCACCAGAGCTGAGGAGAGGGAAGGGTCACCACCTCCCTCGACCTGCTGGTGATGCTCTGGCTAACACAGCCCTGGAGGCTGCTGGCCTGCTCTGCCACCAGGGCACATAGCTGGCTCATGGTCAGCTTCTCCCTCAGTCCTCTCGGGAGCTGCTTCCCAGGCTGTCTGGTGCCAGGTGCAGGACGTGGCTCTTCCCTTTGTTGAATGGCAAGAGGCTCCCTTAGCCCACGTCCTCAGCCTGTCCCTCTCCCGCTGGGTGGCAGTGCCCCCAGCTGGTGTGTCAGCCACTCCTCCCTGCTTCACATCATCTCCAGCCGCCCAGAGCACAGGGACGGGTCACGCAGGTCGAAGCAGCCCTTCCTTGAACTGAAAAATAACACAATTTTCCAGTCCCAGGGATATATCCATCCAGACAGCATGCAGGGGGGTATGTGTCTTTGCTTTAATCTAGTGGCAAATAAGGCTTCTATACAGCTCTCTGCAGTTTAATGGGACTGGGAGATTTAGCCTTATCATTAAAAAAATGGTAAGTTCAAATGGGCAAGCAGGTATCTGAAGCTCAAAAACAACCAGGCAATTGGCTTGAGAGCTGACTAGTCTACATAGTTTTGTTTTCGTTTTTTTAAAGCACTGTAGTTTTGCAAAATGGGAGAAGTAAGCATCAATACAAGAGCAAAGCTAAAAATATTAATTTTAGTTATAAGAAAAAAAACCTAATTTTAGTTACAAGAACTAGGTGATTGCTGCGAGAAACACACATCAAAAATCCTGAGTCATAGCACAGTTACCTTATTATTTTTTAATTTACTTTAAAAAAGTACTCAAACTTTGAAATTTGTAGAAAGAGAATTAGCTCCTGAATCCACAGAAAAAAATAGTACTACTGAAAAAATTCATATAAAAATAACATCTTGATTCAAAGCTATGCTGTTCTCAAACTGCATAGTCTTTACATTCAAACACACCTTCACAGAACTTTGGCAGCAACATTATTTTGTGAATGGACATACACACTATCTGCCTTTATGGACAGCTGACTGATGTTCCACGAAATGTCAAGTACCAGCAAGTTGGAAGTGCAAAATCCTGACAAATTATTAACTTGGTAAAAGCCTAGTTCTTCCTTCCTGTAAGAACAATATTTGAAGTAGGATTTGGCAAAGATTCTCTACCTCTACCTCCAAACACCACCTGCAAAAATGAAATTAACAAATTCCAGTCATGCTTACACATTGCATCATTAAGTTTCCATACCATCTTACTCTGGTTTTGTACTTTCATGCAGTACTATTTTGATTTACTGAAGAAAACATGATAATGAAGATGGAAGGTTCAACAGCAGTTTTCTCACTTTAACAGCATATTCATCTCCCTCCCTAGATGCCCTATTTTGGCCTGCAAGTTACTCACACTTAAAATGCCTTCTCCCTTGCAAGCTAGTTTGCTACACAACTGCTTCCACGAAGCTAGTGCTAGAATTGCTTTGTTATTCCATAAGCTGAAGTAGAATGTACATCCCTAGGGATATACTTTACAGTTGCTACTTAGCACCACGTCTCTTTCCATTTTGAGTAACACCTGCCACTAAAAAGGGGAAAACCCTGATCTTTCAAGTAAGGTGGTAGGTATTTTTAAGCCAAAATGTGAAGTACAAAACCAAGGAAATCTACCATCAACACACAAGCTGACATTGTTTAACATGAGACCTGTGAATTTGAATACTAACACCTCCGACTCAAGTAAAAGCAGTAAAATCTATCCTTTAGAACCCTACAGTTAAAAAAAAATAAATTCTACAAAGTACCCACGCTTGCAGAAGCTTTGAGAAACAAAACTGACCAAACCCATTCCTTCAAGTAAGGTTTCCACTTGATGGCTGGCTTCGTTTGTACCCACCAGCCCCGCTTTCCCCCTCCCACGCTACATCCCACACAGTGCAGCCCCGTGCCCGCTCTCTGCTGCAGGCAGTCTTGTTCTAGGCAACCACTGGAGGTTTTCACCTGAACCCCAATGCAATAGAGCTTTCTGTTTTGGGGCTAAGTCAAGCTCCCATCCTGCTCCTTTTTTTTTCAGGTAAAGAGGGCAGGTTTTAAAAACTTCAGCCAGCCGGGAAAGCCTGTTGCAAACTGAGGGTGCCTGCTGCCCCCAGGAAATGCCTGCGCAGCATCTGGCTGCTGCTTTCCTAAAGCACAGGGCAAACACAAGAAAACACAAGGCAAAGGAACTTTGCTGTTTTACACTCAGAACACTAGCACAAGGCTCCATTAAATTAAGACTTACTCAGGTTGAAGACTTATTTGAGCAACTGATCAAAAAGCAAAGAGTGGGGAGAACCCCCCCAAAACAAAACCCGTATCTAAGCACGCTGAGTCTAAAATTAGCTTCTTGGTTGGGAAAATCTGAGGCCATACCTTTTCTCAGATCAGATCCCACCAGGTCAAGCTGTACATTCTATAAGGATGTCCAGCTTGCTCAGCTGTTGTTAAGCTGTTGCTTTGTTAAACTTTTGCTTCTTATCAGGTGACAAGACAGCACGGTCCAGTTATCAGACAGCATGCCCACAACTTTGTCACACTTCCAGCAATAGGAAAAGACAGCCTAGAAAGCACAAAAGCAGTAGAGAAGTTTATTTTAAGTGCAAGGAGGTGGAAATAGGGTTTGCCTTCTGTACTGCCAAGTGTAAATGAAGGATGGTCAGTGACATGTTGAGCACTTATCCAGACAAAACCAGTTAAATTAAATGGCAACAAATGTCCTGTTCTGCAAGTATTTTTCTGAGGCATTTCCTCTACAACTTGCTATTATCAGCTTCCAAATGTGAATTAGCCAGCAGCGAGTAAATTAAAAAATTAAAAGAATAGGC